GCCAATTTGGCCTTATTCAGCGCAGCATTCGACTACTAATTTATGGAGGTAATTCCGCCATTATTAGTTTTGATTTACTTGCTACATTATGAATAAATAGCAACGCGCATCAGACTAGCCAGTGGAATAGTTCAAACATTGGAAAAAAGTTCAAAATAGTTCAAGCATTGGAAAATAATTAAAAATTCACGCACCAGCGCAGGAAAGCTGAATTCGAAACCTTGAAGGTGAATATCTTTCCGTGATTCCCGAGTTAATAGTTTAACCGCCAAAATTCTTACGAGGTCGTGGGTGATACTCAACAGCGAGGGAACGCTGAATTTGGATGGGCTAGATTTAGCGTAGGCAGGGGTCATTACCCTAAAATTTCAGCCTCCTAGACTCCGTGGTTCCTGAGATACTAATTTACCCGTAAAAAAATTTCACTGGGCCGTACGTGTTACCCGCGTATAAGGGAAGGCTGAATTTGAATGGACAAGGTTGAACGTGAGCAGTGAGTTATTACCCTAAAATTTCATCCTCCTAGACTCCGTGGTTCCTGAAATATTAATTTACCCGTAAAAAACTTTCGCGGGGTCGTAAGTATTACCCGCGGGTAAGGGAAGGCTGAGTTTAATTTGCCTCGTCACCCGTTGGCGGGTGCCGTACGAGTTACCCGCAGGTACGGGAAGGCTGAATTTAAATTTGCCGCGTCACCCGTTGGCGGAGAGTACTATACCAAAATTTCAGCCGCCTAGCTTTTGTGGTTCCCGAGTTGAAAGTGCGGGACAAAATGTGGGCACATACACAAACACACACACATACGCACAAACATACAGACAATCCCGTGACAATATGCGTTTTGTAACGCTGTTACACAGCACAAAACGCATAAAAATCAGGAAAATTACTTCGAATACGGGATCATCTGTAATTCTCATAGCATGAATTTCCATTTTTGTAGCTAACAGTTTGTCCATTTGCTTATGACCAGTGTTGCATTGCCCAGTGGTCAGCCTGTTGTCGATCCTGACGTCCATTCCATTTTCTGAAGTGATTACTGCCTTACTGGTTCTCCCAACAGAGCACTTGACAAGGAATTAGCTGTGACATCCTGGACAACGTACATATATCAGCGATAGTTCCGTTCATAGAACTAGATTAATGTGCAGTGGCCCAGCAAAATAGCTTTGTGGATTTAATTCGATTTACTAGGGAAAAACCATCCATGTGTTCGTCTGTGATAAGTAATTTTGAGTATGTCAGATAAAGACCAGATTGTTGCACTTGGACATTCCTGACCACACTAGTTTTTCAGAAACTGAATGAGCTTTTCCCTCGGTTTTAACTGGCCCATAGTTAGCATAATGCGATCAGTTTATTCGTCAGTAGATTTGAGAAGAAGGGGACATCGGCAGTCTTGCCAGCGGCTGGTTGCTTTTGGCATTTGCTACCACTCAGGCTACTTCCCGAATGTCCGTGTCTTCTAGACACAGTGAAGAGGAAGGGGTTTTGGTTTGCAACTTTGAAAATTGACAAAAGTGGTGTCTTTTTACCGGTGCCGTGTGAAAATAGCATTTGATACATCGATCTTTTTCTTTGAAACTTATTGCTTCTAATTTTCGTAAAAAAATTACAGGCAGCGATGTGAGTGCGCGCGATCGCAGTCTTCAGCCTCGATAAAAGAGCTTCTGTACAGTTGGAAAGATGTTTTTTGCAAATTGGAAAATCTGTTCAACAGAAAAGAAAAGCCCACTTTCGCTCTCATAGCATTACCTTTTGTGGTGATGCCTGATGGCGACGATCCGAATAGTTTTCTCATCCAGAAACATTTGCTGCTCAACAGGTACTTTATTATTATTCATTCTCTGATCAGCCATAATTTACAGTCTCATTCATTCTCCATCTACTCAACTGGCTAATACGCTTTGATTGTTGCTGCATCACGTGGCGGTTAGTGTGCTAAGAATCCCAACGTTCGCTGCCGCTTCCGAAGAGATCATTTAGTTCAACGGTTTTCTCAGCAGAGATATCTCACAAGGTCTTAGACATTCTGAGATATTCTTGGTGTTTGCTGGACATCACCACGTCGTTTCGAACGCGGTCACTTTTTGAATACAACGAGATAAGAAAATATTCTTTGCAATGCTAATTGAAGTTGCTTCCAATTCGAATTTTTCTAAATTTATTTACTTCGACTCAGAACAACGGGGCAATTTTTCCTTTAAACGAAGGGAAGGGGGAAGGGGAGGGGGAGGAAGGCAGTAAAAGACCCTGTTGAATTTGTATCAGTCTAGAAAAGCATTTCAGGAAAGGTCATGCATACGCCACCAGGTGGTTATGGAATACACTGATAGCTGGAACCTATAATCGCGTGCCTTATGCTTCAGAAGAAGCTTTCTTTTGTCCATCTTCTGTAAGCTTTCTTTCTGGTTCCCCGAAACATTATTTAAAAGCTTCTGAGTCTGTCAATTATGCTTCAAAAGCTTGCTGAGTGCTAGTTCCTCTGCCACATCCAAACTTCGTATTCTACGCTATTTTATTGTTAGCTATGATACTGGAAGGAATTGGCGCAGTGGCGAATGGCTCCTTATGCCCACTTGACGCTTCAAATTTGTCGATGGGAAGGCCAATCTCCCTATTATTTCCTTTGCGGAAAGTTGTTTGGGCGCGTATCAAGGCGTATTTCTGTTATTGGACATTAACAGACTGTGTACTGACACAAAAAGATGTTGTTTGTATTGTGGTACTAAGTGTAACTGTTATATTAAGTAATTATAAACTATTTAATTGTTATTATAACCTGATGAAATAAGTAACCTATGAATAATAAAGAAAAAAGAAAGTCAGATTTATAAAATAAAATGAGCTAAGAATTAACCAAAATTAAGTAGATTTAACAGAAAAGAATATTAAAAGAATGTGTAGAAATTGATAAAAGCTGAAGCAAATAAAACAGTGGAATGGAATATTTTTCGAGCAGCTTGCACAACAAGAAGTTGGCTAAGTGTTGTCACGCTTGAACCACTTTCGAGTGCCTTCCAGAAGAGTGAAATCCAGTTTTTGTTTTGTGAAACTGTTTCTCCAGTCCTTAATTCAAAAGTGAAACATTCCAGGAGTGTCCATACTTTCGAACACAGGCCAATAGAGCAGTATGCCGGTTGGTTTCATCGCC